TTGGAATTTCTGTCTGGCAGTCATTTTTGGTAGTTTATAGTAGATTTCATTAAAGTCATTTCTGTGGCACTTTTTTATTTTAGAAATGTATCAATAACTCACAAACATGCTTTTCAAACAGTTGGTCATTAATTTCACTCTGCCCTGTATTCCCCATTTCAATTTTAGCTAATTTGCCAGTAGAAGGGAAGTGCTTCACTGGCTATTCAGTCTAAGAAGGGAGCCCAGGGTGACATTATACAGGCCTCAGTGGAGTGTTGGTGCTACACCTGTGTATCCGTCCTTTCAACAGGCAGTTCAATGCGTGGGTTGAATAATAAGCTCCATTTTCCCGAGTGGTGGCGCACTGCCTAAGGCATTTAACTGCTGCTACCCAGAAGATTGGTGGTTCAAACCCACCAGCTACTCCACGAAGGAAGATGGGACAATCTACTTCCACAAAGATTTACTGTCTCAGAAACCCAATGGATGTCTCTATGAGTTGGAATTGACTTGATGGAATTAGGTTTGTTTTTTTTTTGTTTTGTTTTGTTTTTTGGTCCACGTACTTGTTGTTATTTAATCCTGACCTCACCTTCTTATTGACCTCTTTGGTGTTATTTTTGTTGAATAGTGAAGGATTGTTTTGCTAGCATACACAGGTACTAAATGGCTTTAAGGATGTATTAATCCATCTAAGCTTGAATATTTATTCTAGATCACTCCATATCTCAGTTTTCTCATCTGCACATAGGGATGGTTATAGGAGTGCTCTCTCAGGCTTTTGAGAGGACTAAATGAGTTTAATGCACCCAGTAGAGTCCCTGGGTGATAACAACTGGTTAATGCACTCAGTTGTTAACAGAAGGGATGGTGGGTCTAATGTACCTAGAGGTACCTTGGAATGAATGCCTGGTGATGTACTTCAGAAAAATCAGCCAATGAGAACGTTATGGAGCACAATTCTACTCTGACACATTTGGGATCACCATGAATTAGAGTCAACTTGATGGCAACTGGAAATGAATTTAGAGCACATGGCATTAGGCCTACCACAAAGTGATCACTGGTATAGGTAGGCAGGTCCTACCTGTATTCTTTACATCAACACACCAGGTATGATAGAAAATGTCTAGTTGCCAATTGGGGTACTCAACTTTTTCCATTCCCATTGGCTTTGTTTCCATTTTCTTTACCATGTTGACTGCTAAAGCACAGCTGCCACATGTCTTACAGAGGAAGATAAAATATTGTCAGAACAATTGACAGGATATCACTATTCATTATAGCTTCCACGTCATCTTGAGCCATAGCAGTGAACCAACCTTCATGTTCTCTGAGGGACTTAATAATCGTGATCCTTTGTGATCTAATGCCTTATCTTTTGACCATGGCAATTTAGGAAGTAGTCTTTCTTACCTGGACTCATACCAACATTGTCCACATTTGCACTGCAGGGAATCATCTTCCCTGTTTTAATCCAGTGAATCCTTAATATTTTCTTCTTATTTCTCCTTAAACCAAACTCACTGCCATCGAGTCGTTACTATATTTATGTTCCACATCATCACTTCACATTTTAGGAACAATAAGACTACTTTAGTAGGAGTATCAAGTTGCAGAAAGAGTGATGATAATTTCCTTGTTACCACCTCATTAGGAATAAGAGTTGGCTACCCATCTAAGAATGTGAGGAGTAAAAGAAATGATTTCATTGTTGGCCTGCTTGATTGATTGATTGGTTGAATGGATCAATCAATATTTATAGATTACTTATGCTGAGCAAAGTCCTGTGCAAGGCAGTCTGTAGAATATACACAGAAGCATGTCTTAGGTGTTGCCTTTTGAGTTTTTGTACTCCTTAATTAGGAAATCAAACCAAACCAAACCCACTGCCAACAAATTGATTGACTCATAGCGACATTATGAGGCAGAATAGAACTACCCTGTAAGGTTTCTAAGGCTTTAGTCTTTATGGAAGCAGATTGCCACATCTTTCTGCTATGGAAAAAAATTGGTTGGTTGGGTTTGAACCACCAACCTTTTGGTAAACAGTCTTGCGCTTAACCACCGTGCCAATAGGGCTCTTTAGTTAGAAGACAGTGAAAGTTTTTTGAACAAGGAAAGTTTGATTGATAATAAAGAAGTACTGAGAGAGAAGAAAACATAGAAAGGGGCTTTAACAGGTGAATTCAGTGTTGGTAGGCAAGGTGAGGTGACCTGGGCTCTTTTCAAGGAGCCCAGCTGGTACTGAGTTTGAGAAACACTCTGTTTGATGTAATCAGGGACTTTGGTGATTGTCTGGGTCAACTCCTCAATTTATAGCCAGGAAATTGGACGTTCTTAGAAGACATAGGCAGGTTGACATTATGCCATAGATCTGCAGGCATATATCCATTCACAACTGTTTTCCTCCTAGGATTTGTGCCTAAGTCTGTCTTAAGGATTTTATGAGGTCCTGTTGCCTTCATGTTCATTTGTGCTTAGTTGTTTTGGTAACTATAGAAGTAATTCATGCCTGTTGTGGAAACTTCAGAGTATGTTGTTGTTGTTATGTGCCATTGAGTCGGCCCCAACTCATAGCGACCCCTCCTTGGGTTTCTGAGGCAGTATCACTACAGAAGTAGGATTGCCCAACCTTCCTTCCGAGGAGTGGCTGGTGGGTTTGAACCGCCAGCCTTCTGGTTAGCAGTCAAGTGCCTTAGGCACTATGCCACCAGAGCTCTTACTTTAGAGTATAGAGGGGGCAAATGTGAACAGAGTTGTCTCTGAACTGTAAAGTGATTAATCTTTTGGTCTGTTGACTCTTTCTAGCTAGGTATATATATGTGTGCATCTCTAATACAACATGAAAAAAATTTCCAAATTACCCATTGAATTAAAACCTGATTTTATTGTGTGATTTATTTATTCACTCCTTTATTATATCCCTCTATTTAGACTGATTCCAGATTTATACATTTATAAATGGAACTGCTGATAAATATCTTTGTACTCTCTTGTAGCAGTTTCCTTGTGTACATTTCTACAAGTAGAATCACTGAATCATTGTTTCACACAGTCTACAAAGTTGCATAGTATTGTTCATATCTTGTCCTTCTCCAATGAGATAGAAGCCTTGGGATGGGAAAGCAGAACTTTAGTTATCAGTTGCTTTCTTGTCCTAACCTCCCATTTGGCAAACTGACTTATGTCTTTGCCTTAAGTCTTTGGATAGGCCCTAGTTACTCATGTCTGGGTTAATTAGACCTAGAAATGATATGAGGTTTGCAAAAAGCAACTAGTTGCTGGCTTAACCTCTTGTCCCGGGGTCAGAGTGGACCCACTACTTTGGCCTTTGCCAGTTACGCCAACATAGGTTGTGGGGCTTTCTCCTCCCAACAACATCCTTTTCTCCCTTTAGGTTTCTGATTAGCCATAACCCTACAATAAAGTTGCCACTGCAATTATCCATAGTACTTATGTTGTTTCTTGCTGAGTTTTCTTTTAATTGACCTATTTGCTATATTTCTGCTCACCTTTATAAGAGTTTACGTAATCAGCTTAAGGAGAAATCGCCAAATGCTACCGCTGACCCTTAGAGTAACCAATGTTGTCCTGTATATTGTACTGTATCTTTATTACCTCAATTACGTTAGCATATTCTTCTTTATTTTCAGTCTAAGTTTGTATTTTAAGTCAATCAGTTTAACCCGATCAGGTTTGAGAGTGTGGTGTAAAATCAATGCCATCATTTTAGAATGTTAATCTCTAGCTTTTGGAAAAGATCATTCCATGATTTCATATGGCCATTCAGCAAACATTTACTGAGGCCTACTGTGTACTAGGTATAGTTTCAGTACTAAATATACAATGATGGACAAACATGGCCTCTGCCTCCAGGTGGAGTGGGAGTGAATCACAATCTTGAACCCATCTCCCACAAAACAGGTGGTTCTGTCACTAACCAGTTGCCTACCCGTGAGCTAGTTACTTCTCTAGCCCTCTGTTCCCCTCTTCTTGTAAATGAGACAATTTCTGTGATTTAATGTCCCTTTTAGCTGTGAAAGGAGCTCTGGTGGCGTAGTACCTAAGGCGTTTGACTGCTAACCAGAAGGTTGGTGGTTCAAACCCACCAGCCACTCCACAGAAGGCAGACAGGGCAACCTACTTCTGTAAAGATTTAGTGCCTCGGAAACCCAAAGGGGTCGCTATGAGTCGGAATTGACTCAGTGGCAATGAGTTTAGTTTTTTTTGGGGGGTGGGGGTGAGGTGTGGGGGCTTAGCTGTCGAACTGCCCATCTGTAGTTATGGCACATTTTTCCTAACCCCTACGTCATCACTGCTTGGGCCCACCAGGTACATGTTGCCATTAAAAATAAACAGGGCTCACTCTGACATGTAATGCTTCACAACTTCCATCTCAAATTAAAATGTTTGAACTTCTAGTAATAACTGCCTTTTCTTTTCCCACAGTTTCACTCCTATGTTGTTCACAAATCATAACTTTTAAATATGGATCTTGGCTTCCTGTTGGTAAATTATTTCCCTTAACCAATATTAGCCAAAGCCAGGCTTGGAGCAGCCTGGAAACAGACAGCTTCCTTTCTCCTCCATACCTCCAGAGTCCCTGTTGTATTTGTTTGCTTGTTTTCAGGGAAAGGAGGAGTTGTTTTTGACTCCCCTGAGGATGGTTAGGTTCCAGCATCATGTATTTAGCTTTAGCTGAAACATCTGCTGTGATTTGCCTGTGGCTTTGAAGTGGTAATATCATAAATGTCCAATGGCTGGAATCCTTGTCTGTTCCAGCATCCATAGGCCTAATTTCTGCTTGTAATCTGATTACGGGTCTGAGCTGTTGGAGCCTGCAGCCTTCTGCTCTGGGTTTACTACGTTCCCAAGGACGCAAGTGCCTAATGGCTCAGCCCTGCCTGCAATGTGAAAAATCTCAGCCCAGTTTTGCTTAGATAGGCCTAAGGCTGTAGCTGGTTGACAATCAGCTGTAGAGCAGGCTCTGCTACTGAACTTTTCTGTATGCAACCATGTTCAGAAGCCCAGGAATTTCCAGCTGTTTGGGAGCTTTCAAGTTCTCTGAAAAACAAGGTAAGACCAGAGAGATAGAAGGTGTGCTTGTGCATTTATTTTAGAACAGAATGAATGCCTACATTTTACTCTATATTTTCCTGTGTCTAGATAGTTATACTATTTTCTCAAACGGTACTCTAAGTATCTTAACTGGTTTTATAAATTAGCTTATCTTGTGATTGTTGAAAATTTGAGGTGACCACCCCCCCGGTTGTAAGATAGTGATATTGCTAAGCCACTCAAGCATTTAGGAAAATTGGCAAATTAAGTTGAAATGCCCAGACTTTGGAACAAGTTCTGGATATGCTGCGCTCTCGCTAAAATGTTCTAAAGCAAGGGCTCTGTATACTAAATTATTTCCAGTAGGTAGTGGTGAGTGCTTCGTCTTTCTACTAAATCTTCATGGGAAACAGTTTGGAACAAAATAGCGTTATTTTAGTGACTTCCTTTTGAGCACAGAGGAAAATCGTGCTTTCAATTTAACGACAGAAGCAATACCGCATATTCAGTCCCCTGATTGAACAGAAATGAAACACTGAGGTTATTTTAGATGTCCAATTTGAAATTCAGCCCTTATATGTCAAAAACGTTTTCTAGCACAAATGTGCTATTTGGAAGTGATTTGAACCATTCAGGAATTGTATTCTGTAACAGTTGATAGCCTTTTGAATGTGAGTTCCCCTTCTTTAAATACATAACAAAATACTTGTGTAATTAGGAGAAAATCCTAGATGCTTAATTGGCATTCCATTGTTCATTTTATTGCATTTCTCTAGTTTCTAGAATTTCTAAATGCCACAATTAAGGATGTAATTTGATGTATAATGGAGTGTCGGCAGCTGATGTATTGTGTACCTCTTTTTTCCCCTCAAGCGTCTGCCCTCAAATATTAAATAGTGAGAGGGAATTCCCTAGGGGAAGGAGTTTCTGTAAGTGGTCTACTTGTGGTTTTCTTGGTGGACAAGTGGTTATGTGCCAAAAGCTGTAAAACAGGTTACTAACCATTAGTATGATTATGAATTTTGCCTATTCCTGGTTTTGATTAACCCCTTCACTCAGGATGTGGGTTTTCCTGTGTGGAATTGTTACCAGGTGCCCTTACATAATATATATCTCATCTTCAAAAATAAACAAATGGTTAATTTGACATGTTCTCATCCCTTAGATGGTAATGAGAATAATAAAGGCATCCCCTTTTCTCCACCCTCTACCCCCTTTATTCTTTATTCAGAGGTCTCCAGCAGCGATTGTTGTCAACATTTCTCCTTCCTTGTCTACCTGGACCAAACTTACTTATTTGTTCCATAGCCAGCATTTAAGTGCTTTGAGTTATTCTTGTTACTTCCATACTGAATTTAGATGATAACATTGAACTATGTCAGATTTCTTCTTCTTTTTGTTTTTTAAACCCTTGGAGTATGTTGGCTACTTTACAGGAGGAGAAAAGAAAAAGAAAACTTGATTATCCAAAATTTATACATCAAATTGGATTCTTAGAAGGTCTATTTTTGTATTCATATTTCTGGTCCGGTTAGAAATTTCTGTTATCTTAAATTATATGTCAAATGAACTCTTGACGAATTCCCCTCCTCCTTTGGAGTTTTTATTTATTTTGTATTAATTTGTTCACTTACTGTGTAGCTATGTCATTTTTACATTACTTCTCTTTCCTTAGATTTCAACAAGAAAAACTTAAACTTCATTGGATTCCCACCTCAAAGAAAATTTCCAAGGTAAAGTGACCTTCGCTCAAGGAATCTTAAGTTTTGAAGATTTGTAATAGCTTTTTAAATCATTCTCTTAAATTCTTAATTCATGAATTTAAATGTTTAGTGTTAGGTTTTCTCCCAGAGTTTTATTTATTAAAATACATGAAACAAGGTGACTGAACAGTATCCTCACCCAGCAAACGTTCTTTTTGTGTTCAAGGCTGGTTATGGGAATGTTTGGAAAAAAGGGTATTGGAATCTCTTATATTGCTAACTTGTAACTTCTTTCTCACACTCTCACACTTGCCTTTAAGCATGGGATGTCCTTTTGGAATGTATTCATCAAGTAAGGGAGCTTTTGATTTTTTTTTTAGAAAAGATTTTGGCTCCCTCCCTCTCTTCTCTCCTTCTTTCTCTCCTCCCTTCCTTCCAGTCAATCCTTCTTTTTATTCCATGTCCATCCATCTGTCCATCCATCCATCCACCCATCTGTCCTTGGAGTTTTTGATACCTGGTCTTAGCATCTCTTTCTTAACCTTTCCACACTTACAGTTCCTTTACCTACAGGATATTTAGTGTGTTGCTTTGACTTACCTAGTGTGCTCAGGTTTCGTGGTTCAGTTTTGTTAACATAAGAATGTAAAAATTAAAGCTGGTGTCAAATGAGACTTTGTATCTCAGGGGCTTCTTATTAGATCACTATCCCTAAGAGAGTTTGATATTTTCAAGTGATGGTCCCAAGTCCCAAGTCATCAACCCCTGCACACCAAAAGCTGGATCTCAACCTGAACTTCATTATATCAGAAGGACCTAAGCCATGATGTGTGCCTCATTCCACTCAGATGTTTGTATTCCTAATGTATTATGACATTGCTTCTTTACTAAATAAAGGTTTGCATTTCAATGGAATTAGCATAAACAGTTATATAACCACTGTCCTTATGAAGCTAAGCCTGGCTCTGCATTTGAGTATGGCTCAGTCGACCTTGTGAGCACAGTGGACAGGAAAAGACTTGATATACTTCATCTACTGCTACCCACTGCTGTTGAGTCAACTCCCACTCATAGTGACCCCTATTGGGTTGCCAAGGTTGTATATCTTTACAGAAGGAGATTGCCTCATATTCCTCCCATGGAGCAGCTGGTGGGTTTGAACTGCCGACCTTCTGTTAGCATCCAAATGCCTTACCCACTGTGCCACCAGAGCTCCTTAGTATAGGTTAATTAACACATTAATGATCCAGGGTAATCAGTGAGGTTGTCTGTCTTGACTCATGAAATCTTACTTTTCTAGTGCTTGACATGGCTCCCAAATTTCTCATATTTGCCCAATTATTAATAGAATCCAAGACTCATATCCTCATGTGTCCCCAGCAGAGTGATTGAGCTGCAGTAGAGCTAATGAGTGACCAAGACAGGAAGAAAAGGAAAGGGAAACAGGAATGTATTGCTTATTCAAGGACAGGAAAAGCATGAAATAGGGAGGTAAGACACATCAGTGAAGAGGGACTGAGGGACACAGCTATTCTAAAATCATGGGTATTTTATATAAAATCCACTGGTGTTGAGCCAATTCCAATACATAGTGACTTCTATGTGTCAGAGTAGAACTGTGCTCCATGGGGTTTTTGTTGTTGTTATTTGCTGTCAAGTTGGATCCAACTCATAGCGACCCCTCCTTGGGTTTCTGAGGTGGTATCACTGCCAAGTAGATTGCCCAACCTTCCTTCCAAGGAGTGGCTGGTGGGTTTGAACCACCAGCCTTCTGGTTTAGCAGTCAAGTGCCTTAGGCACTGCACTACCAGAACCTCCCCCATAGGGTTTGCTCTGGTTACCTAGTGCCACTCTGACAAGAATCTACCACAAATGGGATGGCCTTAACAAACAGGAGTTTATTCTTACAATTTGGAGGCTTTAAGTCCAAGTTTAAAGTGCCAGGCTCTAGGGGCTGGGTGAAAGCCCCTCAACCTTGGGATACAGCTTTGCCTCCTGCTACCGGCCCACTGGAGCTAGAGGCTTTTCTTCACTCAGACAGCTGCTGGCTGCTGAGGCCAAGAAGCCCCAAGGTTGACAAGTCAAAAGGCACAGTCCTGATGTTACCAAACCACATGGCAGGCTATTAATGTAAGTCCACTGTAAGTCCCAAGGTCGGCAGAGCATAGCAGGCTACTCAATAAAGACAAGGCTACGTGCAGGGTTCAAGTATGCCATAGGCTAGAGACTATTCCCAAGGCTTCTCTTTATATACAGGAAGCAGACCACATACCCAAAGGCGGCTACTCAGCTGCTCCCACTAGATTCCACCATGGAGTTGATTACCAGTCTCATCATGGGGAAAACTACATCCAGCTGCCCAGCCATTCAACCAGGCCTAGCCAAGTTAACATACAAACATAACCATCACAGGGTTTTTAATGGCTGATTTATTGTAAGTGGATCACCAGGTCTTTTCCAAAGTGCCTGTGGATGGACTCAAACATCCAACCTTTCAGTTACCAGCTGTAGTCCACTTGCCATGGTGTACTGAGTGTAAAATGGGCTGGAGGTACAAGAACCTGCATTCCTAAGAGAAATCTAGTCAACTGAACATCAACGAAGAGAAGAGAAAATGTGAAGCACTGAATTTTCTTCTTCTAGATCTTATAATTTAAACTTCAGTAGAAGAATGACAGGGTTGTAGGGGAGCCTTATACAAAGTGGGTAAAATAGTAGTATACCCATATTTTTTTAAGAGATGGGAGGTAATAACAGCAGAATATCCTGTTCACTTTTCAATGAAATTTCTCCTGGTTGCTACTGCTGGGCATTTAAGTAGGTTAATGGAACACTTTAAAAAAAAAAAAAAATCATGGAAGCAGATAACAATCGCTTTCTAGATTATTAGAGCCAAGGGAGAGAGGCAGAGCTATGAAAAAATTAGTCGGAAAGAGTGACTGTTGTTTCAGAGGAGATGAGAATAGTTGATTAAAAATAATAATAAAATCAAACATTCAGTTCCTTTTTTTATTAGAAAGCTTTAAAACTTTCTTAGAAAAATTAAGTCTGTAATTCTTACTTCATCTATGGAGTGGTGGTTTTATATTGAACTATAGGCTCATAACTTTGGGTGTAGCAGTGGGTATACACCAAGGACTGCCGAAGTTGTCCCTACAGAGAGGGGACTACCTGCTGGCCCCTTGTCACCAAGGGAATGATATATATTGGGAGGAAGTGCAGGCTCCAGCAGTCAGAGCTCAGTGCTTTGGAGTTAAAAATAATGTGAATTATCAATACACTCTACTGATCACACTGCTCTGGTGCCCCTGACTCAGAAACATAAAAAGAAAAGGGGAGACAGAAGCGTTCCTTTGGATGTTAGTTACATGTTTCGTGGGCCATTAGACAATCAGATGGAGTTGCTCATTCGTGAATGGTCTGGAGATCTTTATCAGTATATTTTGCCTGTATTTTCACTACTGGATAAATGGTCCCCTCTGTGGATAGAAAGTCTAGGCAAGAAATGAGATTTAATTTTTATTGTGATTAGGGTGAAAGTTTATAGAGCAAATTCACTCTCCGTAGAGCACCTCACATATACTTTGTCTCATGACATTGACTACAATTTACCATAGTGCAACAGCTCCCCTCCCACTTTGTCTCCATAGTTACTTCTTCCCTGTGTCCTTCCCTCCATGCACTCCTGCCCCCTGAGCTGTCTTCCTGTACATACACAGCCCTTCTGTTCTTCCATGATATCTCCAAGGAGTGTATCTACCTATTATAAATGTTCAGCTCATATGTCTGTCTTTTGTTTGGCTGGAAGCCACAGGAGTGGGTTCAATTCCAGACCTGAAGGGCAGCTAGGGGCCATAGTGTCAGGGGTTCCACCAGGCTCTATCAGACCAGCAAACCTGGTCCTTTCTTTCTTTTTTTTTTTTTTTTTTTAATTTTTGAGTTTTGTTCCACGTTGTTCTCCCACTCTATCTAGGCTCTCCTACAGAGATCCCCCTCCGAGTGGTTGGAAGTGGTAGCTGGGCACCATCTAGTTTTTCTGGTCTCATTATCATATAGGCTGAGGATCACATGGCATACCAGTTGCTTGGACTAATTGTTTCCATGAATCTTTGTTTTTCTTCATTCTTCTTTGCTCTGGAAAAGGAGAGACCCATCGTTGCATCTAGATGGCGGCTTGCAGGCTTTTAAGATCCCAGTCGCTACTCGCCAAAGTAGGATGTGGAACAATGTTTTGTGTAGTATGTTATGCCAATTGAGTTTGATGTCCCCTACAACTATGGTCCCTAGCCCACAGGTCCAAATAGTTGCTCCCTCTGGGCATTTGGCTGTGGCCAAGAAGTAACTACAACCTTGCCCCTTGTCAGCACTACGATAAACCTGGAAATTCTTATAGAACATACAAACACACTTGTAGAAACATTGTCCACCAACCTTATATATGGTCTTGGGCACACTCCCCCCAGCATAGACATACCTAGTAGTTCAGCCTATCCACCCATCAGTCTGCCCATGTATCAATGTTTGTCTTCACTGATAACGGAGTACTATATGGGCAAAAGAGTTCATCTTTGCTTTCTGAACCTCCCATGTACCTCTTTATGTCTTCTTCTTCCTCAGTGCCACCATGTTGATAACTCACATTTGATATATTGCCCTTCTCTTCACCCATTTCAAAACTTGTCCCTACCTGCTAGCAGTGCTCCCTCCCCTTACTTCCCACCCCTGGTAACCAACAAAGAAAAGTTTCTTCCATATATAAACCTTTCCTTCTTTTTACAATAACAGGCTAATGCAATAATTGTCCTCCTGTGATTGACTTATTTCACTCAGCATAACGCTCTCCAAGTTCATCCACATTATGTGGTGTTTTGCTGATTCTGTGTTATCTTTAGAGTTGGGTAGTATTCCATTGTGTGTATGTACCCTAGTTTGGTTATCCATTCTTCTGTTGATAGACACCTAGGTTATTTCCTTCTTTTTGCTATTGTAAATAGTGCCGCAATGAACATGGGTATGCATATATCTGTTCT